AGACTGGCTTTAAAACTGTGCTCTGAGGAACATGACAAAAAGGTGTAACCAGATGTGACCTCTCAGTTCCACAGTCGTGCACCATTCAGGTGGCCTTGCTGTGTCCTGAGAGCTGATATGTACAAGAAGACATGTACACAGTAACTGGCTGACTCATTTGGCCTGATTTTCTTGCTATTGTGTCATTCAGCATCATTTACATTGTTACTTCTAACGATACTAAGATTTTTACTTAAAGGTGCATGGTCTTGTCAAGAATATTCAGTAGAAAAAGGTATTTTAAAGAATGGCCATTGATGAGCTTGGCCCGAGTCTGTCTGCAATTGCTCACAACTGTTTGCAAATGTGTAGGAGGAAACAGTCTTCGTAATTTCTAATTTATAATATACATCGATTCTGGACATTTTAAGAGCTTCTTTTTCTATCATGGACATCTTCCCTGTGCAACAGAGATGAATGGTAGCACAGGTGGGAAGTTCCAGTTGTCCTAGCATCATCCATAACTCCAGATGGGTTTTGAAGAAAAGTAAAAAAAACACCCTATGACTGTCAAATTTGAAGAAAAGTCTAGGGGTTCCAGGGCTTGGTTTCTCTATAGCCAGAGTTAGACAGTAAAGGAGCTGTCCAGGTATATAAACCAATTTGTCTCCCTTACCTCCACCCTCTAACTTCATAGCACATTGCCTATCAGGATTTTGGACCCTCTTGAATTTGGGTCCTTTGTTTGGAGAGACCTGGGTTCTAATTCTTTACTGTCTGACTATCAGTGATGGACATGACCTGGGAGAGTTGGGTAAGCTCCCCGAGCCTCCCTTTCCTCATCCATAAATGTGAATAATAATATAAACTACGGTTGTTGAAAGTATTAAACCAGCCAGACACATGGTAGAAACTCAGTCAGCACCAGTGGACATTGTCATTGTTCTATCAACACCATGACCGTCCTCACCACTCTCCTACACATTAGTCTCCTTTCTGCAGGCTCTGTAATGTCATGTCCTAGACAATTGCAGAGCCAGGAGAGAAATTAATCTTTAGCTTAGAAAGATACCGGACTCCTTTAAATTGCCTGAGTTAGTTCATGTTAGCATCTCATGGTAACTTTGTTGTTTTAGACTAAGTTTATTTAACTTGGAGAATCCTGAATTACAAAATGAAGAAAAATGAGTGGTTTGTTAAAAATAAAAAAACAAAAAAGAATAGCAGAGATAAGAAGACCACAGATACCCAAGTAATAATCAGTAGCCATCTTTCTGAATAAATAGGGTCGCTTCATATTGCTAACACATGAACCAATGCTTTTCTAGTTTTTAAAATTTTTTTATTGATTGATTTATTTTAGAGAGAGAGAGAAACATCGATCAGGTGCCTCCCAAGTGCACCCTGACTGGGAATCGAACCTCCCACCTTTTGGTGTAAGGGACAACACTCCAACCAACTGGGCCACACTGGCCAGGACAGCTTTTCTAGTTTTTAAGAGTTTTCTTAGGTATAAACCACCTTGAGAAATTACACTGTGGATTTGATTTAACCTGCTAACATAATTAAAGGCGGGTATAATAGTCCACGCTGTCCCCCCCAATCAGAGTGGGATGAGAATTGACAAGGCTTGCCCTGCGCAGCTGCAGTGGCATCTCGCGGGTCCCCTACATTCATGTGGCCTCTGTGACTCTTAGGACTCAGGCTCATTTTTAAATTAACCCTTATCTGCTAAGTAAGTTTCATCGAGGAGCCTGTCCTTTTTTATGACTAGAATCATCTCTCCCACCCCTCCTCTTCTTCCACGATGTCATAAAAGAGAACCTCCCCAATGCAGTACACAAGTCAGGATTTCATTACATCCTGCTCCATGGAGAAGACTATGCAGACATGAGGCAGCGTGCCTTCACGAGATCATTTCATGTGAGTGATATTTAGTTTTATATAACAAAATAGATCTTTTCCATTTCCTGGGCAAACTAGCTGAGTCCACTTCTGTCTGGAAGACGTTAGAATTCTGTGTCTACAGACTCTAGGAATGGATGCAAGCATGGTGGCTTTGTGGGGTACATGTATCTATATATCTATCTATATCTATATATCTATCTATATCTATATCTACACCTATATCTATATCTGTATCTATCTATATCTCTATATATCTATATATACATAGATCAATCTGTTTTGTGTGTCCATCTGCACAACAAGGGAGGGATGAGCCTAAGATAAATGACTCTGTTAAAGGTATTTTAAAACCATTTAGACTATTTATTGACTCCAATTTAAGAGGGAAAATTTTTAAAAAGACCCTTGTCTAAAGGTTTAAGTTCTGCTGCTTTACTCTTCTTTATCCAGGATAACACATTAAAATGCTACAAATCTGATTTTTTTCAGGTCCCTTCAAACTTAACCACAAAGTTTACAAACAGGGATTTTTCCCAGTTACCCTTCAAAATGTGTTTATTTCAAAGATCAGGTCTCTATAGTATGCAAACTAAATTAAAGATCTGTAAAATTGTTTTATTCACCTACTCCCTAAAAGAAATTTTAAAACCTGTGTTTCTACTTGTATAAAGTTTACATCTAATCTTGATTTTATTATAAGTCTAAATAGCTGTACAGAATATAATTTTTGGCATATTATAAGTATTGATACTTAGAAATACACCCACTGCATCCATTTGAAAGCAGATCTAATGGAATATTGATTTGATATTCTCTATCACCTATGAAAAATCAATGACAACTTCTTCTTTACAGTTGGAAGTTTAGCATTTCCTGTTGTTCTCTTTGGATGTGTATTTCCATTACACGTCTCTCACAGTTATAGCCTAATGTAATATTTTTACACAGAAGGCAGTTTATCAAACACCCTATTATATTTCTTTGTAACAAAAATATGTATATAAATTTACTAGACTTTTTATTTACCAGTGACCCTAATGCTTTAAGTATCAAGATTTTCTTTTGGGTTGGGTAATCATTACAAATATTATGAATGTACTCTTGTCCAAAACAACATAAATTTATTATAAATTTTAATAATTTTAAATTCAAAAAGTTAAATCTTTATTAGAAATGTATGTGGCTGATTTTATTTCAATTAGTTTATATTTAGGGGGATGAATATTATTTATGTCTAGGATGGGACATGATTCAACATAAATTCTATTTCCATTTTTCATTTTATATGTCTTGAGAATGCTTGCTCACATGAATTAGTAGATGAAAATGGATGAAATTTTGTTATAGCAATGTCATTAATTTCTTTGAATTCCATCTGAGCTATATGCCTCAGATCACCAAAAGTTAATTTTTTAAAATATGTTTTTATTGATTTCCAAGAGAGGACGGGAGAGGGGGAGAGAGATAGAAACATCAATGATGAGAGTCACTGATTCAGCTACCTCCTGCACACTCCTTACTGGGGATCAAGTCTGAAACCCGGGCATGTGCTGTGACCGGGAATGGAGCTGTGACCTCCTGGTTCATAGGTGGACTCTCAACCACTGAACCATGTCGGCTGGGCCAAAAATTAATTTTAATGATCCATCAGCTGACAAGTAGATTGGGACTTTGATATTTATTGAAAGAAAAAAATTGGAAACCTCCTTATATGCAAAACAGTACATTACCCAGGCATTACACTCACTCACTGTTATCAACACCAACACTGATATTTCAAATTGTCCTTTCTTTAGTGCCTCAAAGGTTTTGCACCCTAGCAATCTGCTGTGTAGTAATAATTTGGGGTAAAGAAAAAGATACTCTTCTTTCATAAAATAGGAGAAAGTAATTAAGAAAGAGGACAGCAAGATATTTTATTTTTTAATGTAGGGCATTCTCACTAAGATAAATTTTAAGTAAATGTCCATGTGAGGGTTGAGAAATTTAAATTTTATTTTCTTAAAATTATCCATGACAATGTACCCCTCTGAGAGTTGTGTCTTAAGTGTATGTGTGTCCCTGTTTGCATATGCTGTACTATATTGGTTTCACCCATGAACCATTGTATAAGAAAAATAAATAGCAGTGCTATTTACAATAGCTAAGATCTAGAAACAGCCCAAGTGCCTATCAGTAGGTGAGTGGATAAAAAGCTGTGGGACATTCACACCATGGAACACTACACAGCTGTAAAAAAGAAGGATCTCATACTCTTTGGGACAGCATGGAAGGACCTGGACAATATTATGCTAAGCGAAATAAGCCAGGCAGAGAAAGATAAATATTACATGATCTCACTTATATGTGGAGTCTAATGAACAAAATAAACTGATGAACAAAACAGAGCCAGAGACATGGAAGCATGGATCAGACTGAGGGGTCTCAGATGGAAGTGGGGAGGGGGAGGCGGGAAGATATTAACCAGAGAACTAACATGCATAAATGCAGAACCCATGGACACAGGCAACAGTCAGGTGAAGGCCTGCGGGGCAGGTGTGCGGTGGAGGGAGGCCAGTGGGGGGGAGGGGGACATCTGTAATACTTTCAACAATAAAGATAAATAAAAAACAAAGCAAAAAGGAAAGAGTTGGTGGGGGGGGGAGAAAGAGAGAGATTGCGAGAGACAGAGCGACAGAGATGGAGAACTCCATTTTCAAATTGAACAGCTGTATGCCAGTCTGTCACATATCAAGGGAACACGCAATTCAAATAAGCAGAAGTCACATGGCCTAAATAACCAGCGAGAAAATGCTTCCCTGCCTCCACAATGCTGGGATTGTAAGTGCATCTGCAACAGGCCTCACTGCTCTTTCTCTGATCTCACGAGATTCCCAATGATTTATTTCAGGGGAGTTGTTAGCAAGTCTTGCGATGCTTTTCCAACACAGGGACACAAAAGAATGACAGGCATCATGTTTTAGTTTTAGATCCAAGAGCTCTGGATGAAAAAGAATGTGATTTCCTTTAAAATACTTGCCCTGAGGGCTCAGGTAACTCCAACACCCTTCGAGCATTGGAAAAAGAAATGAGAAGGGACAGAGAAAAGTTATTGCGAAAAGCCAACCACTTACAATGAGTGGACCCCGGTTGTTTTCACGATACTTGTTCTGGAAGAAAATGTAAACGACAGTGGCGGCCAAGGAGTAGAGGAAGGCGAAGACGGCGACGGTGACAAAGAACTCGGCTGAAGATGAGGAGTCCCCAGTCAGTGCCAGCTTCTCCCGCTCCTTTCCCTCGCAGGTGGGCACCTCAAATGTCACCTGGTGCAACCTAGGGACAGATTTAAGGAGACACTGTAAAATGCTATGGAGAGAAAACCGGATGCCATGCCTACATGCCATAAAGCACAGTGGGCAGCGACTGGCAAGTCATATGGCACCTATGGGACAAGTTCACTAACCAAGTGGGTTAGAGATTGTAACTGCAAACGTGGAAGTAAAGGCTGCTGTCCCTGGAGAGAGAGGGAAGGGGAGAAAGGAGGGGCACCCAAGGTTGTGATAAATTAGACTGTGACATTCCCCTGCTTAAATGCTCCAGGGCTTTCTTATCTTAACTTGGACTCAAAACCAAAATCCTAAATGTGACCCACTAGGTCTTACATCATGGTCCTGGCTTAGGGTCTTTTCCTTGACCGTTCCCTCTCCCTACATTTCTCTGCGCCCTGACATTTCCCGTGGCTGGCTGGTTCTTGCCATTCAGGGTGAGCTCGAATGCCTTCTCCTGGGCTAGCATTTTCCCTCCCATGAATTTAAAATAGCTCCCTTTCCTTAGACATGTCTGTCACATCATGCCGTTCATAACATTCAGCAGCAGCCACTCTATCTCGGCAACATGTTTAATTACTCATTTTTTGGACTCCTTTGCCCTCTCTGTGATCATGGGGATCTTAATACTCTTCTTCTCTGTATAGCCAAAGTCCTGACACTTTTGGCCACTCACTAATGAGGACCTGGGTAAATGAATGAACATTTGATTCTGTAAGGCAATGATAGGCCCTAATTTGACTGAACTTTTGAACTTCTGTTTTATCAGTAAGTTCTATCGGGACAGCATCCAGGCTCAATATATTGCTTAATAGAGAAAATAAAAAAAACTTTTTTTGGGGGGGGGGGCAATAGTTCCTGCTCAATAAATGACACCTAAGGAAGATGTATGAACCAGACGGTAAACTGTAATTCAACACAGGACCCCAAATTCTGCTTCTTCAGAAGTGACCTAATAACTCTTGGATTGTGGGAAACAGACATAAAGTTTACCAATATCAGTAAAGTAAGTACCACTTGGAAAATTATCAATAAAAGTAACGATGGTGACACTATTGTCTCATTGATGAAAATTTAAATCTCTAACCTATGCTCAGGAAGTATTTTTCTTACTAAGCAAAACTTGAGCCCTTTGAAAAAGATTTGTTGTGCGCACTCTCTTACAATTTAGAAATAATATAGTGATAAAGTATTAATAACAATAGTAAATAACGGAGTTTTTCACATGCGCCAGTTACTGTGTTGTATATGCATTGATTAATTTAATTTCCATGGCAACTGTATAATGTAGGCACTTTACTGCCCTCTCCCCCTTCACAGATAAGAAACAGGCTTAGAAAGATTATGCAGTTTGGCCTAAGACACATGGCTAGCAAATTGAGCCAGGTGTTTAAATTTGTGTCACACTCCAGAGCTTGATTTTTTAACTTCTGTATTCACCTGTTAAATAATAAGAATATTACCTGAGATGAATATTTTTTTTTCCAAGAGAAGCCTGAGGATCTAGCATCAGGATCATATATTCCAGGGCCTTGTCTCACATCCACGAATCAGAGCCTCTAGGGGCTGTAACCTAGTTGATCGACCAAGCAGCACAGCCCAGTTTCCTGAGTTCCTGTCTCAGAAACCTGTGCTTTTTTTTTTTTTTTATCTACTGTTGACTTTAGAACTGAATGTTACACAGTCCACTTGACTTTGCTGGTGGCCCTGAGCCTCCTCCTGTTTCTTATCAAACAGAAGCATAAGCACCTTCGGTTAAAAACCAGGAAAACAGAAGCATTCATCACGGTTTCATTGTAGACCCCTTTCTCCCCTTGCCAGAGACACTGAAATAGTTCTCAGTAGTTTGGTCTGTGGGAGGGCTGAAAAATGAAATTGATTTAAAAAGTAATAATGCCAATTTTTCTTTTATTTTTTAAAGTTTTTTTGTTTGTTTGTTTTTTAAATATATCTTTATTGATTTCAGAGAGAGGAAAGGAGAGGGAGAGGGAGAGATAGAAACATCAATGATGAGAGAGTCATTGATCGAGCCCGCAACCCGGGCATGTGCCCTGACCAGGAATCGAACCCCGATCGCCTGGATTCCAGGTCGACGCTCAACCGCTGAGCCATGCCCAGCCGGGCCAATTTTTCTGATATAGGTGATGTTCAGATAACATACACATTTTTTCTCATTATTTCGTAACATTTCATTCATTCAACACAATTTTAACAAGTGGATCTGTAGTTCACACAATGGCTAGATGCCGGGCATAGGGTTAAACAAAGATGAGATGGGATGGTCTCTGCCTATGTTGAACTTCAAGTTTAGAGGGAAAGCAAAGGTTTCCTGAAAGGAGCTCTTGGCTAGTGGGGGTGAGATGGTCAAGACAAACTTCCCCACGGAAGTGATTTTTAAGCTGCAGCTTGAAAAATGAGTAGAAATTGTCCACATGTTGGGTATGAAAGCACAATGAAATGTAACTTCGCATCCACTAGAAGGGCTATATTTAAAAAGACGTAACATAGGAAAACAAGTGTTAGCGAGATGAGATTGGTATAACGAGATAAGATTGGAATAACACGTTTTAGTTGGAAAAATGGGAATTTTCAAAGTCAGCAGGTAGAAATGAAAATGGTGCAGCCACTTTGGAAAAGAGGCTGGCAGTTTTTCAGACAGTTAAATGTCGAGTTACATTATGATCCAGCAGTTTCTCTCCTAGATCCGTACTCACGAGAAATTATAACATTTTTTTCTGCCAAAAACATGCACAAGAATGTTCATGGCAGCCCCAGAGCGGAAACAATCCAGATGTCTGTCAACTGATGAGCGGATAAATAAGATTCGGTATATCCACAGGATGGAATGCCATTTTATGCAACAGCATTAATGAACCTTGAAAACCTTATGCTAAGTGAAAGAAGCCAGGCACAAAGGCCCCTGTGTGTGATGACATGCATCTGAAATGTTCAGAACAGGCAAAGTTATGGAGACAAACGTAGGTTAGGGCTGGGGACTGGGGAGGGTGGCAGAATTGGGGATGATGGCGAAGTGTTAGAAGATCCCTTTTGGGGTAATAAAAATGTCCTAGAATTGATTGTGGTGATGGATGCACAGCTCCACAAATATACTTAAAGCCATCAAACTGTACATTTGAAATTAATAAATTGCATGGTGTGTGAATTACATCTCAAAAAAGCCGTTAAAAAATAGGTAGGAAACAGTATGTACCAAGATCCTGCACAGGCAAGTTGAGAGCACGTGGGAGGAGACGGCCTAGGGGCTGGAAACCGGGGTGTCGCAGGATGAGCTGGAGGGGTAGCCAGGAGTCCCCCTGTGGGCTTCTGTGTGCCACGTTATGAACTTGCATCCTTATCTTAAGACAAACACTGGAAAGATTTTCTTATAATAAACAAGGTGTAAAACAAAAATAGCAAGCCGAGCAGTGTCACCGGCCACGGCCGTCTAGCCACACGCACACCGGCCTTGCAGGCTAACACTCTGGAACCAGCCGTGGGTCCCGCAGGCCTGGCTGCCGCACGTGGGGAGGGCGGCATGGGGGGCAGAGGAAAAGAGTGGGGGTTTCCTGTGCAACCAGCTGACTACACACGTCTCCCCGTTGCTAACTCACTGTGTTGGTTTACAGTAAATGTTAATTGTGCTTATCGGTACAGGGCAAAAAAACCCCATTAATGAATCTGCTGTGCTTGTTAATATCAATGATCTAAAGCTGGGTATTTGGCCCAAGAGCCGCATTGGGGTGAAGGCAGGAGAAAGGGGAGAAAGGGGAGTGAGGCTTCGGGTAGTTCCCATTGTGTGGAAGGAAGGAGGGTTCATCTATAAAGATGTCAGCTCAAAGGAGTCCGAGCATAACAATTCACATCACTGAATATTTTGATTGACGTATGAAGGTATATATTACTAAACATATATATATATATATATATATTTTGTGTGTATATATATACATATATATATATATTTAACAGAAAGTCCCTTTAAGCAACAGTTACATACATATGGATAAATACATATGCCTTATCTTGGAGGGAGAGATTTTACAGCCAGCCTGTGTCTAGCAGCTGTACTAATTTGGGAAGCAAATATCGTTCGTTTAGAACCTAAATGAGGTAAAAACTGTCCTGCATAGATAGAGCATGTCAGTTGGTAGAATCTGGAAGCCACAGGGCCACCTCTGATCTTGTGAGGAACCGTCAGGGAACAATTGCTGGAGCCTGCAAAAGAGACCAAATCTAATTCGTTGCTTTCGAATGCTTAACTCCCTTCTTGGCTGGCCTGGCTCAATCAAGGGGTAATTGAATGTCACTGAGTTTTATTGCATCATGTCAATCAATGAGAGGATTCCATGTTATAGCTTTTTGTTTTTAATTTTTACCAATGCTTACACCCAGCCCTTTAAGCATCTCACTGCTGCTTCATTTAGACTAAAGGAACTGCTTGTGACCCCACAGTTCTTAGTTGTGTTTGTAGGACCTAGGAAAATATTAAGCAAGTTGCTGTCGTTTTATTAATAAAAATATTTATGAGGAGGATGACCTCAGTTTTCAACCTCCAGGCGTTGTGCTGGGTTTTTTACTGACTGTTTCTCTCTTAATGCTCATGACAACTTTCTCAGGTAGGTACTATTACTACCATTATCATACAGATGAGGAAACTGAGGCTTGGGGTGGGTGCTGAACGTGCCTGAGGTTGCATGGCCAGTGGAGGGAGGAGATGCATCTCGAATGCATTCAGGTTGGGAGTAGGCTACGCTGAGCCTACACTGCATTGGGGGGAGTAACCATTTCTGCCTCTGTTTCAAAAGTTACAGCATCCGTAGGTTTCCAGCTGAATGTGCTTATGCGAACAGCCAGACTAGCTTTCCCATGCCATCTAATCTATACTAAATAGGATTCTAAACCAACACTCTTCCACTTCCCCCTCGAAGTCTGTATGTCTGGCACTGTACAAGGTGGCCAGCAATGACAGAGTTGAATCCCTGTAGACCAACCAATAGGACGTCATTA